GGTTCTAGTCAAGTGTTACTTGTATTCTAGGGTTACTTGTATGACTGTTATTGGTTTTGATTAAGGGGTTGCTTGTAGGGTGTTACTGGTGTGGTATAGGATTTTGGTCTAGATTTACTCAGAATATAAGTAACACATACAAGTAACCCCATGATACAAGTAACCCATACAAGTAACCTCATAATATAAGTAACACCCTACAAGTAACTTATACAAGTAACCCAGAATACAAGTAACCCTAAAATACAAGTAATCGCGCCGCATCATGTGACTTGTCGCACTGAAAAACCTCTGTAAATATTTATGTTTGGTCCACTAACAAATATTTAAAAACGGGGAATACTTCTTTCAAAAAATAAAATAAAATGGGAATACTAATTAGATAAAGTTCCTAAGTCGTACTTCGTAATTAATTACGTGCTCGTAGTAAATAGTACTTCGTATTAGACACAAGGGATTCGACCAAAACATGCTTCACACAAATATTAGGAATCAACACCCCATTTGCTGTCACTTCCGATTGGGATCAGCTTTATGCTCCATGAATCCATAAACCATGATTATTGCTCCATTTTACAGCCAAATTACGATAGTGGAACTGTGGAAACCACGTACATCGTTTTTTTTTTTTTTTTTTCTTTTTTTGATGGAGTGGAAACCACATTTGATGAATATATGGGATAGAGTATAAAACATATTGATGGTTGAGGTCCATGAATATATTTTATACTCTAATAATTTGCTCCATAAATATATATATATATATATATGATAGAGTATAAAACATATTGATGGTTGCTCCATTAATTTGTTATCCTATCTATTTATAAATAAGGTTGTTCAAACTCAACTTTACATAACAGATACACAACATATTAACGAAATGTGTAAAGTGACAGTGTTTTATTAATAAGGTGGTGTTCGTAGCCATGGCAATGCTTCTTATGGCCTTTGTCGCGGTCTCAGCCATCCGTCCTTTAGTGGCCGATGAATCACCAACACGCGACATTTATAGGAATCTTGTTGAAAGTTATGGTTATGCATATGTTGCTGGTAACGATTGGGACCCTGCAGAGGGTAATGGTGATTGACAATTGATCGATCTGTTGGAGCCTCTCCTATCTTCCTTATGTATGATGAAATTATGAGCTTAGTGATAGCTTCCTTTCTTTCTCTTGTATTAAATGAGCCGGTAATGTTGCCCACTTTGTCGCTAGATATAGAGTGAATTTGTATGAACCATTTCCCCAAAGTCTCCAAACTTTGGTTGAAATTGATTATGGGTACTCGTTTTTAATTAAAAACACCAATTTCATATAAGGAAAATGCTAACGAACGTCCCGGGGCATTGAATAAACTAGTTAAAAGCAGAAAGATTAAATTAAAACTAACATTAATTACACTGATCGATGCGTGATTTTAATTTGTCATGCTTTCCCAAATTAATACCAGTTTAGGTAAAATTTTAAATGCTTATCCAATGCCCCGAGGACGTTCGTTAGCAAGATCCTTCATATAATTCTTATTTTGCAGATGTCGATAATCAAGAATCATTTGTTAAGGTTGTACGACCTTGATAATATTAATTGTTGTCTTAATTGATTCTTTTTATTTTATATACCATTACTTGTTTTTTTTTCTTTTTTTTCTTTTTGTAACTGCCGGCTTTATTCACTTGTAATTGGTGACGTGAAAAACCCAACAAAAGTTATTTCACGAGTAGATATGAAAATCTCTCAAAGTTCCACCATAAACGCTAGAATTAAAAAAAATAATAAAAATCCCTTCTCCCTTCAAAAAAAAAAATAATAAAAATAATAATAATAAAAAATACAATGTTTAATTGCAAGTGCATGCTCAAGGATGGAGTAAGTTTAAAAATCGTGTATGTAGAACGAGTGTAACTTTATTTGATGAAAGTAGTTTTTGTAGGTGTGTGGTTGAAGGCCTCCTCAAAAGTAGGAGTACAGGTCTGATATTCTCGTCCTTACTTGGAATCGGTTGGTAGGTAGACTTGGTCTTAGCTTATGGCCTGTTCTCTTCAACTAATTTTCATTTCAGTTCAGTTTCTAATTTCCTTCTCTCATAAAATATTCTGTTCAGTGCAGCTCTAATCAGTTTAGTAAATCAGAATAAGCCCTTACAAAATTTCTCATAACGAATTTCAGGTCTTAAGTACCACTCCTTAAGCCAAGAGGCCCAAGATTTTAACTAATCGAGCTAGTTGATAATCTGTAATTTATAACACCTTAACCTCCTAGCTAACTAGTAATAGGGTTAGTGAAAGTTGATGAACTATAAGGAAATGATGAATTGCTCGGGCTAACACGGTTTCTAAGAGAATTTCAACAATAGGAGAAGGATGACAAAGTTCAAGCACTAATGAGACTAAGAATACTTTCCGTGAATTGCTTCCTCATTGCTCAACCATATTTATACAAATATACATCGAATCATCTAGGCATAATTCTAGGCTAATATCAAGGAAACAATATTAAACTTATCCTATAAACTAGGAAACAAACTATACACTTTGACTAAGCTAATTATTTACATAATTATCTTAACAAAAGCAACAAAGACGAAATAGATAGGGATTTAGGGAGCCATTCCCACTTGATAATCACAACATGAATTCGGTTGGAGCAGTCGTGAATCCGTGAAACACTGCATATTATGAAATGAATATTCAATGACTATATACCCTCTGTTATCTAAGCTCGAAATCAAGGATTGACGTGCGTTGTGCCATATATATTATTGCTTCAAAATCATTTTAAGTATCAAATAACACACTAATTGGAAATCACGTCTTATTTAATGTAACACATATAAATACATTTGGATTAGAGGTGATCAAAGTTAGCCCGACCCGATTATGAGCGGGTTTTGGGCAAAAAATTTTGGCCCAAAATCGGGTCGGGCCTAGCCCGGCCTGATTTTTTTGGGCGGGTTTGGAAATGCGTTTTTAGGCATGTTTAGTTGATTTTTTAGGGCTGGCCCAAAAAAGCCCAACCATTTTGGGTGGGTTTGGGCACAAAAATTCCAGCCTGAAGCTTGGCTCGACCCAACCCATCCCGAAAATAGGCTTAGTTTTTTAGTTTCGGCCCGGTCCGCCCAATGATCACTTCTAATTTGGATATTATAAGGTTACTATCGTCAAAGTGGACTATTTTGATCGTGAATTAGAATTTCATCTTAATCCCATTGTCCCTCCAATGGATCAATGGCATTATCACCAATAACTCTCCTCCACGACATCTTAGCTAATTAATTACTAAAATTTGCTAATTGAGGTTTTGGTGGTGAATTGTTTCAAAGAGCTAGGTTTTTCAATAGCTTATCCAAGTATTTTAAGGTGAAATAATGACAATTATACCCTCATAATTCTAAAATCCTACCACATTAAAATATAACGAAGTCATTATTAGTCATTTTGTATTCCTTAAAATAGAGTTGAGTACCAAATTATGAAAGTGGAAGTGTGGAAACCACGTTCGTTTTTTCAAATTTGACGAAGTGGAAACCATGTTTGAGATTCCAAAACCATCCAAAACCGCTCTCTATATAAATATGGTTGTTCTAACACAATTTTAATATACACAACAAATTAACAAAATGAGTAAAGTGACAAAGTGTCTTACTAATAAGGTGGTGTTCGTAGCCATGGCAATGCTTCTCATGGCCTTTGTCGCGGTCTCAGCCACCCGTCCTTTAGTGGCCGACGAAACACCAACACTCGACATTCATAGAAAAATTGATTTATTTTTTTTGCACCTTCATAGAAAGCTTGTTGAAACTTATGGTTATGCATATGTTGATGATGATGCACCTTCAGGGGGATATTAAGATGTCGTTAATCAAGGATCATTTGCTGGAGTCGTAGTTCTACCTCCCTATTAATTGCTTGCTGCCTTTATTGATTCTGTTTAAATTATGTACCATGACTTGTTTCTTGTACCTGCTAGCTTTATTCTCTTTTAATTTGCCTCCTACTGTTTGATTATTACTGTTTATTCATCTTATATGTTACTTTGTACTTTTTTTGTTAGGAAATTATATGTTTACTTTATTTAATTTGATGATATACAAATCATATGAGCGAGTATTTTGATCTAATTGGCTTTATCGTTATAAATTAAATAAGTATCCATAAATTCACCCGTACTTCATTCATCACTCATCACACATGCTTGACACAAAACAAACTCCTAACTTAAGTGTTGGTTAGTGTAGAGAGAGCCACAATAAATTGTTAGATCGCCTCTCCGTAAAAGCTGTATATTCCAGCGATATGTGCGAAAAATGTAACACAACGCAAGATTTATAAAACGATGGTACCTTTGATGAAAGAAACTTTTAGGTTTTGTTCTCATTGACTGAACTCAACTGAACTGAGTTGAACTGAGCTGAGCTGAACTGAACTTATTAATTAGTGATTTTTAATTATGGATCAGTGATCTTTGATTATTTATTATTACACATATGTGTATATACAAATATATATATTAAAATATTAAAGAAAAATATACTATTATTATTATTATTATTTATTGATTATTATTATTATTATTATTATTATTATTATTATTATTATTATTCAATTTTATGTATTTGTTAATTTAGATTTCATTTATAGATGCCGTGTGACTTTAAATATTACATAATTAATTTTGTTTATGCTGAATGTCGCACTCGTGATTGGTCGTAATAATTGAGCAAGGTTGCGAAAACTAAAATAAAATCTTTACTTTGAACAACAGCTAAAATAATCCGATAATTCACAGAAAAATTATCACAATGTATATAATGTGCTAGGGAATACGGAGTACCTGAAGACTGATTGGATGAAAGAGACGGACTTTTAGCAAACACTGTGTAAGTCACATAATCACGAAGCAAAACAAATGGGAACTTTTCACGAAGACCGCACCACATATGGGGCTGCTGCTGTGCCTCGGTATTTGTGGCACGAGTTGTGGGTTGCTGTGGTGCAGAGCTTAGAACTTGCTGTTGCGGAAACGAGCTGCCATCACTCGCAGTACTAACAGTATTGCTTCCAGCACCCACTGCACAACACTACCAACAGCCTGGTCAATGGCTGGGGTTGCATGCTGGCTTGCTAACCCAACGCCCGCAGCATTCCCAGCAAGCTGACTAGCTCTGGGATGTTGGGAGCTGCTCGAGGAGCTTGCGGCAGATGGCTGGTTGGTGCCACTTGCCCCCTTTACTTCGGGTTCCCCTTCACAATCATCATGAATTTCACATTATTCATCAGCCATATCATACTCCGCATAATCAATATGAATTTCATCCGTTGTAGCAAACTCATTCGAATCTATGTTCACATCATCCATTCAACCAAAAGGAAACACATCTTCCACAAATTTCACATCACGAGAGACAAAGAATTTCTTAGACTCAAGATCATACAACCTCCACCCTTTCTTTTCAAAAGGATACCCCAAGAAAACACATTTGCGACTCCTACTAGCAAACTTATCATCCCTAGTATTTTGATTATGAGCAAAACACAAGCACCTAAAAGTACGAATAACATAAAAAAGGACATTTATTAACAAGTTTCAGACGGGGTTTATTTTGTAGGAGAGGCTGTTAAGACACATTCCCCCCTCCCGGAAATAAATGGACAATTTGGCTTGAAATTTCAAAGCTCCCAACATTAAGAATATGTTTATATTTCCGTTCCACTCTCCCATTTTTGTTTAGAGGTTCCCACACATGAGGTTTGAAAAAGAATACCGGTTGCAACAAAATAATCAATCAAGCATTTAAATTCAGTCTCATTATCACTTTGAACAACTTTTATGATTTGATTAAATTGTCATTCAACCATAGCAACAAAAGCCATAAACATCCGAAAAACTTCTGTTTTATCAATCAACAAATAAATCCAAAAAGCTCCGGAATAATCGCCAACTATAGTAAAAAAAAATAAATAGCCCCAAATGACGTAACATGACGATATGGAGGACCCCACAAATCACAATGTATTTTTCAAAGATTCTAGCAGAATTATTTTCACTCAAACAAATTGTCTCTAGGTTGTTGAGCACGAAAACATACTTCAAAATCCTTAGCTAAACTTCTTTTATTATTTCTAATATGAGGAAGCAACTTAACTACTTTCTCTTAAGGATGCCCCATTCTTGTATGCTAGAGCTCCAAATTTGATGTAGCTTCAACCATAGACACACGTTGCACCTTATCTAGTTTGCTAAAATAATAGTTCGTCTCGCCTAAGTCCTGTTCCAATCAGCTGCTTTAGTCGGTCATGTATAACACACATATATAAGTTAAATTGGACAACAACATTTAATTGGTCACTAAATTGAGTAACATAGACTAAATTGCAATGAAGATGAGGCACAACATGAACTCCAGTAATTGCAATTTTATCGGACAAACGAAAGGAACCTTCCAAGGTAACAAATACACGTTCACCGTTCAGTAAAAAACCAATAGGACATTCAATATTGTGTGTGTTAAATAACCAAGAACTATTACTGGTAACATGATGAGTCGCTCCGGTATCAATAGTCCGGCGGTGAAGGCTGAACCTAGGAGAGAAGTCGCACCACGAGGGACTGATTTCCCCCCGCCATGGCTGCCTTCGCTCGTGCCCCTCCTCGGCTTTGACCAAAGTAGTATCATGTTGCTGCCCTCCATTTCAACAAGTAGGATACCTCGGCACTTCATAGCAACGATGAAAATCGTGCCCCTCCTTGTTGCAATGAGGGAATGGAGATTTAAACTAACAACTTGAAATATTATTCCCCGGTACGGTGGTGTTTGATCATCACCGACCATGGGTAATTATGAAAAAAAAAAATCAACCTGGCTCTAATACCAAGTTAAATTCAGAAGAAAATATAATTGTGTGGCTTGCCTTCTCATTAATCACCATGTAACATATATATATATATATATATATATATATATATATATATATATATATATATATATATATATATATATATATATATATATATATATATATATATATATATGGAAAATTTGTCAGAAAAAATCTTTTAAATGCCTCATTTTGCAAGAAAAAACCTTTTAAACGATTCTTTGCTAAAAAAACCACCACAATCACTTTTTTTGTTTAATGAAACCTTCCGGCATTGACTCTAAAATTCAGGCGTTGACTCCAAACTTTCCCTACTTGCAACCATTTTTAGGCGTTTTTCTCTCTTTTGTTTTTCTCCCTAATTTCTCCTCTATAATATGCCCAAATCAGTCCAACGAAAAATTAGTATTGTATACGAAGTAATTCGTATGTTAACTTTATTTTATGATCGATATACAGCAGGGGCGAAGCCAGGAGATAAGATTTAGGGGGGCCAAGACTTATACGACATATTAAGTAAAATAGTAATGTATAATTGTATATACTGCTTTTCTTATTGTAATTTTTTTTTATGTAGTGGTATTAATTAAATTTGACTAGTCCTCAAAAAAAAAAAAAAAGAAAGAAAAAAGACTGCAATTGAGCTAATAATTTAACATCACTATAACTATGCAGAAATTAACATTTTATACTATTTATTTAGGGGGCTAGGTTTAAAAATAAAGGAGTTGGCGATTGGGCTAGTGGGGCTGGGCCTCCACCAGCCCCCCTGGCTACGCCCTTGATATACAGAGCATATGAGTATTTTGATCGGCTTTATCTTTATAAATAAGTATTTGTAAATTGGCCTACACTTCATCACATACACATGCCCGACACTAACAAACCTCCTAGCACCTCAAGTGTTGTTTAGTGTAGAGAGAGCCACAAGGGAATGATATAAACAGTTATTTGATCTTGTGAATACTGAATTTAGCACTCGTGATTTGTCGTAATAATTGAGTATGGTTGCAAAATAAAAAAATAATAAAAAAAACCTACAATTAAATCTAATACTACCTCCGTTACATATTATTTGCAATGATTTGACATAAAGTAGAGAGGAAAAATATCTAATCGTTGCAAATAATATGTAACGGAGGTAGTATGAAAGAAATTAAATTGCAAAAAAGAGACAACATAAGCATATGTTGGTGACGCTGGAAAATATAATAATTGTTAAAATAAACCATATGTACATCATATCAGTATATATGAGAATCTACTAGACTTTCATTATAATCACTAGAATTGAAAAGAATAAAATACAATGTTTTTTTTTTTTTGACAAAAGAACTTACAAGAAAAAAAAAACTACAACAGAAAGAAACAAACTAGAACTGAAAAAACAACAACTGTCGTCGCCGAGGGGAACCAGCTAACCAGTGAGCCGGAGAAACCCATGACCGGGGAACCTTACGAATTTGGCATACCAAAAATGACTCTACAACAGCCCGCAATTCTAGAATGAGCCACCAAACCGAAATGTCCATTGGACCTGAATTCAGAATCATAGAAAGGAGGGTCGCACAATCAGAATGAATCCGAATCTTCAAGAAACCTTTACGAACCGCCGCTTGAAGACCCCATAAACAAGGTTGTAGCTCAGACTGTAAGGCCGACCCGGACAAAAAGGCCCTACTACCTCCACCCAAAACCTCCGAAGAACAAAGGTCACGGATAACCCAACCTGCACCAGCCCTACAAGTGGAGCAATCCCAAGCTCCATCAACGATCAAACAAACTGTGGGGGATATGTCTGGTAATCCCCTCAAACACAACCATGGATCCCCTGAAAGCACATGCGAACTAGGCGAACAAGATCCCAATACAGATTTCTTCCAATCTTGAGACTGGACACAACGATGGAACCAATCCTCAGCCAAACCTTCAATTGTCCTGGGTGACCAAACCGCATGTCTGAATCTTAACTGGTTCCGAGAAAGCCAAATAGCCCAAAGGATAGCAAATAAAGACATGATACCCTTCCAAAATTTGTGAGAATAGAACCGAGAAATGGTGTCAGCCAGCCACTCCCCGAACTGGAAGAACTGCCAAAGATCCCAACAAACCCCTAACGTTCCCGACTGCCATAAAGATCGCACAGCAGGGCAGTCTCTAAAGGTGTGCGACACCTCCTCCCACTCTTGATGGCAAAAAGCACATACCGGGTCAACCGGAAAACCACGGGAATGTAGAAGGGGTTCCATCGGAAGAGCATCATGTAATATTTTCCAGCCAAACACTTTCCACCGAGGAAGAATATGAAGCTGCCAAAACCTCCGCCACCAGGTTGGAGTCAACCGGCTACCAAAACCAGGGGTCATAGGGGACTGGCAAAGAAAGGCATAAGCCGATTTGGTGGAGAAAACACCATCTCTAGTGAACTTCCAGTATACAAAATCATCCATTTGCCTCCCCGGCCGATCCAAAGAAAGAATCCTAGTAGCTGACAAAGAGTCAAACAACCTATGAACAATCAAAGTATCCCACGCGTAAGAATGCGGATCAAGTAAAGAAGATACAAAAGTCGGTCTAACCGCCTCTGACGGAAAATCCTTGAACTGAACCTGTCCACCAGGAGCCCAAGAATCCTCCAAAATACGAACCCGAGAACCCGAACCAACCTTCCAAACCAAACCCTTAGACAAAACAGACAGTCCTGAGAGAAGACCCCGACAACCCCAAGAAAGGCGAGAAACCGAGGACGCAACACCCCCTGCTAAAGAAGGGCATTTAGCAAACAGAAGACGAGAAACCAACAGTTGCGGGGATTGAATGAGTCGCCAACTCTGTTTTGCTAATAAGGCAGAATTAAACGGAGCAAGACTACGAATACCCAAACCCCCTAGTCCCTTCGGGAGGTGCAGTAACTTAGAAGAACGAAGAGCCATCCCGCGACTCGATTGTGAAGATTTCCACCAAAACTTGGCTAGCAAATTGTCTACCCTAGAGCAAATAGAATCTGGAATCTGGAAAACTGATAAAATATGATTAAACGAGGCAAGGAGCACCGAGTTAATGATGATCAACTTCGCCGCAGGGGAGAGGTGTAATGCAGCAAACACCTCAAGGCGTTTAGCTACCTTATCTACAAGAAAACCAAACTCGGAACACTTACTACGACCTAAATCAACAGGAAGCCCCAGATAAGTACCAAATCGTGATTCAGAACGTAGCTGTAAACATTTAGACAAATATGCCCGATAATCCTCCGGAGTATTCGGGCTAAACTTTACAAACGATTTCTGCATATTAAGCATTTGTCCCGAGATAGCACAGAACTCAGAAAGAACATTCATCACCTGTTCATAAGAAGTAGGCGAAACATGGAAGAACAATAAAGAGTCATCCGCGAAGAACAAATGTGATATAGATGGTGCTCCCCTCGAAATTTTGATACCATGAAACAACTCCTCCATCTCAGCTTTCCTCAGCATCGCAGAGAGCACTTCCATGCAAAGAACAAACAGGTAGGGAGAAAGAGGATCCCCTTGACGTAAACCACACTGAGGACGGAAAGACTCGGAAGGAGCACCATTAACAAGCACTTGATATGACACCGTTGAAACACACTGCATAATTAAATGAATCCAATAGGGAGGAAAACCAAAGACCTGAAGCACCTGGGATAAAAACTCCCAACTAACCCTATCATAGGCTTTGTTCATATCTATTTTGAGGGCCGCATAAAAACGTTTCCTAGCTTTGGAGGCATTCGTGAAAGAAATCAACTCATGCACCATCAAGCAGTTATCTGACATTAGCCTACCAGGAATAAAGGCATTCTGGTAGTCTGAGACTAAATCCGGAAGTACACCGCGCAATCGATGAGAAAGACATTTAGTAATGCATATATAGACGACATTACAAAGGCCAATAGGACGGAATTGAGAAATAAACTCAGGATGATCAACCTTTGGGATTAAAACCAAGAACGTACGATTCCAGTCCTTTAGTAAATACCCATGAGCAAAAAAGAATTGAACAGCCGTGATCACGTGATTTCCTACCTCATGCCAATAGGTTTTGAAAAATGCCGAAGAAAAACCGTCTGGACCTGGAGATTTGTCATCTGCAATGCTAAACATAGCCCGCTTAATATCGTCAGCTGAGAAAGGAGCTAGTAAGGACTGGCGATGCGTATCAGATAAAGATGGCAAATGAAGAGAATCCCAAGAAAACCGAGAAACAGAGGATTGAACCGAGGAAGAACATTGTGAGTCCCCACTATAAAGAACCTTGTAGAAATTCAAAGCAATCGAACGAATACCCCCCACATCTGATACCCAAGGCCCATCAGTATCTCGCAAACCCAGAATATAGTTTTTCCTTCGCCGAGCCTGAACAGTTGAAAAAAGTAGTCGGGTATGCTCATCACCAAACACATCCCATTTCAATTTGGCTCTCTGTTTCCAAAAGAGAAAAGCCGCCTGGGCCTAAGAAATCTTCTCCTTTTGCACTTTGTGGAAAAGGCAACGGTCGTAACGGGAGTTAAGAACAACAGACGCTTGAGAAACATCAGCAACCAAAGATTTCCAATCAATACCCCACATCTTCTTGTGAGTAACACACCAAGCTAACAAACGATGACGAAGAATACAAAGCCTTCGAGATAATGAAAACATATGAGAAACCGGAACATGAATTGCAAAAACAGACCTCACCATGTCTGCCACAACAGCAGATCTGAGACACTAGTTCTCAATTCGGTATGGCCGTTTACAATTACACGTAGAAGAAGAATCACTCAAAATAATAGCTGCATGATCAGAAAACAAAATAGGTTGGTGCTGAACAAAAGTAGCAGGCCTATCCTGTAACCAAAGGGATGTAGCATAAGCTTTGTCCAATCTCTCAAAAGTAGGATCTGACATTAACCTCCCATTAGTCCAAGTAAAACCAGGTCCTGTAAATGGGATATATAATAAACCCATGTCTAATTTCCATTGCATGAAATCATGACGACCAGGAATATCCAAATTCCCCCCTACTTTATCCGATAAATATTCTTCCTGGTTAAAATCACCGACTAACACAACATTCGGATAAGTGGCTAAAATATTAGAGATTTCCGACCACACAGTCATACGATCAGAAACTTGAGGCGCTCCATACAGAAAAAGGGCATATTTTATTACCAAATTCTCCACAATTCGACACAATATTACATGCGGAGAAACCAAGACAGGATCAATCACAACTGGGGAAAACCAAAATACACAAAGACCACCACTAAGACCCACCGAATCTACACCCACAAAACCTGAATACGACAGAGAAGATAACTTATGCATTGCAGAATTTACACACACCATAGTTTCAGCTAAAAACACAACATCGACACTATGAGAGCGAACTAAGGATGCAATATAAGGAACTTTAGGGGAGTCCGCTTGACCCAAACCCCTACAGTTCCAAGCCACAATCTTCATCTATCTCCTGGTGGCCTTAAACGGGCGGCCACCAAACCCTCAGAAGAAGAACCAGCTCGAGACATCTGAATTGGAGAAGAAGTACCGATCCCTTTACGTTTCTTAAAGGGAGGCCAGAAAATACAACCAAGAGCAGCAACAACCGAACCTTTATCCTCAAAACAATACTTTAAAGTCTTAACAAAACCCGAAGACGATCTCTTCATAGGACAAACTAAATTCACCCATCCCCACATTCTTCCATGGCGTTTGAGCATATTTGGCTCAACCTTCTTTAACGACACAGGACGTCGTGCTAATTTCTTAAACGGAGGGTTCCGCTGTTTAAGAGAATGTAATATGTGTGAGGAGCAAGACGCATTAATCATCTTGGGTTAAAATTGGGTGGGGGGTTGCAGAAGGTGAGAAATGGGATGGGGTTGGAATGTGGGTAGGACTTATAGGTGGAGGGGTAACTTGTACTGTGGATTCAGAGTACATATTCCTTTTTTTCGAAGGGGGGAAAGCTGGAGAATCCAACATAAGCGTTCTTTTTCTTACCAGGGTACTCTGGGGTTGGGGTGGGATAATGTCTCTGTAAAAACTCCGAATATCCACTCTAGATGTTCTAAATCTTTCGGTCCTTTTTAGGCCAATATTTGAATTGGAGAGATTATGATTCAGATTAACCATTGACGACCTTGACGTACACAATCCAATTCTATTGGCCACCAAAGAAGTAGGTCTAAGAGAGTTCAAAAGACAAGAGTTCTTCCTATGTCCAACTCGATTACACCTAGAGCACATAATAAACAAATTCTCATATCTGATATTAACCCATTTAAACTCAGAATTGCCAAGGTCCAAGAAGAAACCTGCTAATAACGGTTCAAAAACATTGATTAGGAGCTTTACTCTAAGTAGGCATGTAATTGAACCTGGCGGGGGGTCATCAACACACAGAATGTCCCCGACCAAAGATAGCATCGGTCTAATAACATCAAGCTTGCATAAATTTAGAGGAACCTCATCAAGTTTGACCCATATAGCAGCTTTACTAAATCTGATATCCCTGATTGAGTCACCTGGAGTCCAAGGCTTTGAAAACTAGAAGAGTCGCTTGATACGCCAAAGCTCCCTGCTCCAACATAGCATCTCCATCACGAGCATCTTCACATAGAAATAGAAAGATATTTTTGAACCTCTGAACTGTAATTTCCCCAAATTTTATCCACTGATTAGACACCCAATCTTGAATTCGACATTCGGAGAAGTGACGATAGTCTACAAATTTCCCGAGAATTAGATGACGGTGGAAATTGGAGTATTGAGGTTTGTAACAGGACTGATCCCGGCTTGGATAATCAAAAAATTGAGATGAAGCCATATTAATGGAACGAGGGATATAGACAACCAAGGAACTTGCAATCAACAAAACGAAGAATAACAGGCAGAGCTAAGAGAATAAAACCTCAAGAAACAGAGCTTATGCTTGCGTAAAACGAAACCACTTAAATGACAAGTAACACTAAGCTTTAAACTTAAGGAGTAGAGACTGAGTAAGAACAAACCGTCGCCGGTGAAACAGGAGCGTCACTGATGAACATGAAAAGCCGCCGGAGAATAACAAGAAGCAGCAGCAAATTGAACCCAAAGGTAACATAGAACAGCGAATCGAACACCTCCACTTTGTTCAGTAAAATTGCGGCTTCCGACCATATGATTGTAACAGTTATGAAAACTTGGTGTGATTGAAGTGAGTAAATGAGCGGTGGAAGAAAGCGGTGTTGGTTTAACGTTGGCTGGAGTGATTGAAAGGCTCTAGTAATTTCCTAGAGAGAGAGGCTCCCTGAGTAATTGCTAGTATATCCTCAAGGAGAAGTTGTGTAAGTAGAACGAGTGTAACTTTATTTGGAGGTAGTTGTAGTTGTAGGTGTGTAGGTATTATTATCACACAACTAGGGTTTAATTGTGTGGTTGGAGGCTTCCTCGCAAGTATGTATAGGTGGATTACTTGGTCTTAGCTTAATTTTTTTTTTTTAAAAACTACCCATAATAAATTTCGGGTCTTAAGTGACACCCTTGAACTTAAGACTTTAACTAACTGAATTAGTTGATAATTCATAACACAAAAAAATCAATAATAGGAGAAGGACAACCAAGTTCAAAAACTAATTAGACTAAGAAAAGCACCAAAGATGTAATAGCAGATAGGGAGTTAGGGAGCCAATCCCACTAGATCATCACAAAATGAATACCATTAATGGTTTATAATAAAAAAAGTTGACGGGGGAAGTCGTGATTCCCTGAAACATTATTGTTGTTTTAAAGAATACTACAAGAAGGGGGGTTGAATTGTAGGATGAGAATTTAGCCAAACTTTTTGCGGAATTAAAATTAAGTTAGCTAAAGGAACAGAAAGATTAACTAAAGGAACTAAAGAATGCAAGAGAGATTTTACGTGGAAAACTCCTTGGCCCTAACAAGGAGAAAAACCACGACCACTTGGGATTTTAGGAAAAGAATCTTCACTATAATAGGGCAAATGAACCTATTACAAGCTAACGACTCAAACTCAAGTTCCTCTACGAACTTGAGACCCTGAGGAACAAGTCACCCAACTTGTTACTCTTCTCTTCTCTTTCTCTCTTCTCACTTCTCTGTTCTCTCCTCTATTTCTCTTCTCTTTCTCTTTTCTCTTTCTCATATACAAACGTTCACTCGAACTTCCCCATTCCCCAAATTACAACTCGAAAGATAAACAAACTCTAGTATAAGAACATTAGAACACTCTAATGAACTTGTGTAAAATTGACACTTGACTCGATTTGAAGCTTGAAAACTTATGTGAGCAAGGGTGAGTTTTTCCAACAGAAATCAATGGCTATTTATAGATCAACAAATGCTTTGGAAAATCCTCTTTGTGCAGCAACACCATTACGCCACTACTCATACCCACTAAGAAGATCATGTCCCTATAATTAAGGAACCATGAACTCCTTAATGTGCAAACTCATGACTGAAGAAGAACATGGGAGAGTAGGCCGCAAGTTTTGGAAAACATGGGAGATTTTATTTTGTAAAAGTCATTTTCCGAAAATCAGAAAAAGAAATAAAATAAAATCTTTTTAACTTGAGAAAAAGATAAACGTTTAAATGATAACAATTTTCCTAAAAACTAGCATGCACATATTTCATCTTTTAGATCAATTCCACACAGATTTTTCGAGTGCTATTTAATATCTTATACTTACATAAATCCTAAAATATAAAATATATTTAGTCTTCATGCTCTCTGATGAAGCTTCTTCTCCGAGGCTTATGTTCCCTGGGAGGAACTTCTCTTCTCTGATGAGGTTTCTTCTCTGAAGCTTCTGTTCCCTGAGGGAACCTTCTATTCTCCAGTCTTCATTTCTGAAGCGCCAGTTCCTGTGAGGGAACTCTTCCATATGGATAGCTCTGCTTCTGGCCTTCTTGTTCCTCATGGTATTTTTACAAGACACTTCATTCTCCTAGTCTTTGTAACTAAGTACACACTTAAACAATCAAGCACTTATTAGTTTGTAAGTAAGTGAGGTTGTGTCATCATCAAAATCATTAAGTCCAACAATTATGCTATTCAATGATCATCCCTCTGTCATCTAAGCTCGAAATAAAGGATTGACTTGTGCTATTAATATTATTGCTTCAAAATAATTTTAAGTATTAAATGACGAAATAGTAGTTGGAAATCACATCTGATTAAATATAACGTATATAAGTGATACACTATATATTCATTTCCTTTATTTCTTTTTGTTTAAAATTAGGAAAAATTGTCAAAAATAATACGGAGTAACACTCTTATTTCACCTGTCTTTCTAAAATAAAACGACATTAATCATCATTCGGTCACATTTTATCTTGAGCGAGTGCCTCTCAAAGGTCATTTTATTTTGGAATTGAATAATCAAAAGATCATTTTACTTTTTAAAGCTCGATGAAGTTAAGGTCAGATTTTTTTTTTCTTCTCAAAAACTAATATTTATTTGCCTTTCATACAATTACCATTGTACTGATAAGCTTACCAAGTTTTAGACCATTTGAATATTATAAGGTGGATCACTACCAAAGTGGACTATTTTGATGGTGAATTAGAATTTCATCTTAATGCCATAGTCCTTAGCTCCTATATAATGGATCTTGTTAGATATTTTAATATATATAGATCTAGAGAAGGAATGAGAGAAAAAACAACCAAAAAACTGATTCATTTCACAGACTAATTCACGATAATACAAAGGCATTATATATAACCGATGAACATAACAACATAAAGCTATACAAGGGGAGGCACGATCACATGATCAACAAAATGCCTAACTATACTCCACTAACGGATACAACTCAACACTACTCATCATTAATTCCTAATTTCTAGCCACGTTTAAACCCACAATTACAAACTATAACTAATTTATTTAGGGGAAGCAATACACCAACATGGGCATTGATATCATGTAGAAACTATACTTTTTTTCTTTGCTAAGAGATCTTAAACTTTACTCACAATAATCTCATTAGTGATGGAATCACCATAGATTCTCATCTGACTTACTATCATCTATGTCATAATCACCAATAATAATCCCTTCACTATATCCCAGATTCCCAGCTAATTGACCCCTACAAAATGCTTATTCCACCAAATATGCTCATTTTCAATAAGTATCTTGAAGTAGCTTTTTCAAAACTTATTCAAGTATTTTAAAGAAAAATGACAATTATACCCTCATTAAATCAAAAAATTATACCAGACTAAAATATAACGATGTCTTTGTAAACCATAAAAATTCAAACCTGCAATATATAATTAAAGAGGTAGAAAAATATACGGGAACAATTATTTCATTAATAATTTGTGGGTTACAACTCTCGTAGATCTCTTGATTCCTCTTTCCGAAGGGCTAGCTTTTGATATTTGTCGGCTTAATCCATACTATATACCTACAATGTTTGGTAGTAGGGAGGAGATGGGGTCT